CTTTGCTTGTTGGGCAGTTGCGAACCAGTGGAAGGGCAATAACAACGAGGACAGTTTATCGCCGAATAAGGTCTTCTGGACTGTTTTCATACCTTTGACCCCACAGCATCGTCGACAACGGTGGGTGTGGAGTAGGGATAGACTTGAATGGAATATGGAATGGAACTCATCGTGTTCAGCGATGAGCTCAGATTCTGTTTGGGCACACATGATGACCATTCAAGAGTGAGGAGACGAGGAGAAAGACGAAACGTCCAATCCATCGAACGGCATATTGTTACCGCGTTCAACTTTTTAAATATAGGTTTTATCGTAGCTGGTTTTAGTATGTCAAGAAAATAACCATCCTCAATAAATTTATTAAATAAAAATACTATATTCTAACCAATACAACTTAAAACTTATCATAAAAGGTTCAGAGTAAAATTATCAAAACCTGCAGACTTTATATTTTCAATTTTGCTTAAAACGAATTTCAGTTCATCTAACCAATTCGGTTCAATGAAAATACAGGGTGGCGCATCGAAAACGAAACAGACGCATTTACTGGCAGCTCAGTTTTTTTTTGAAAAAACGCTCAGACCCGTCGATTTTGTTTTCGAGGGGGACACAAGTTTGGCAAAAAATCACGTTAACACGTGCAGCCCCTTGGGCGGGGATGACACCAACCCTAAAATCTTAAATGGAAAGGCGGGTCGAGTGATACCTCATTTTAAAGGTCCCTTTATAATGATGTAAAATACATGAGCTTCAGTTCAGTACTTTTGCAGATTTATTGATTTAAAGCTTAAAGTAGTCTTTAATAGGTACATCAGATTAGTTTGTACTACTTTCAGAAGAAATATGACTAAAAGAAATTACTTAATAAGTAAATGCTTTTCTTTACTGCGCCCATGGTTTGTTCATCATTTTGTTGTTAAAAATAGCTATCGGAGCGTTTTTTTGTAGCAAAAAGTTATTTATTGAAGAAAGATAAGGAAATGTCTCGTACTTATTTTAAATAGGAATTTAGTACATAGTTTGCGATTGATTTCACCAAACTTTGTTGCTAAAATAACTTGTAACGCTTTATTACATAAATTAACCATGGTATATTCCACAGCATAAAGAGTTGAAATTATAGAAATATTTTTCGGAAATAATGAGTGCGCTAATAGAATAGCAGAAATATTTAATGAGCGACATGAGAACAGTAACGGGCATTGACCACGTTTTTACCAATATTACTCAGTTCGTTTCCTGTGTCTATGATAATACAGTTTCAGATCACAGAACGACTCTGGGGGACTTCGTATGTTTGCTCCAAGAAATCGGACAAAATTTACCTGAACAAAAGAAGTTTCATGAAACGCAATTAGCGACTGTAAAGAATCTTTATTAAACGAATCTTTGCTATCAGTTTACTCTAGCTTTACAGTTTCTGAGTCGTTTGGAAATTTTTTTAAAATCTTTTTGAACTATTTTAATAATTATTTCCCTTTACATAAAGCCTGTAAGGGAAACGGCTCAAAAAGTTGGGTTACACATAACGTAAGAAATTCAAGCAATAATTTGAAAGATTTATATCATACCTCACAAATAAATCCAAGACTAAAGTCACTGTATAATGATGCTAAAAAGGCACATAAAAAATTGATCAGACACACAAAAAGATCAGTCTACCACAACAAAACTGTATTGTCTAAAAATACCACCAAAGCGTGCTGGCAAGTGGTCAATGCAACTAAAAATGAGAACAAAGTTCGAAAAAATATAGTTCTACATAAAGATCGAAATGAAAAAGTGTACGACCCTCAGCTGTTGACAAATATGTTCAATGATTTTTTTAAAAATGCTCCAGATGATATAATACAAAAAAATAATACCTCAGATAGTGCAGCTGATTTCAAATTCAATGTCAAAAAGTATTTCAAACTTTACCCTTATACAGATAATGAGCTCAGTAACTTACTTTTGAAAACATTAAAAAATTCCAAATCTTGCGGTTTTGATGACATTCCCAATTTTCTGGTAAAAGAAGTACTACATCTTATAATAAAACCAATAACACATCTTATAAATATCTCATTTTGCTGCGGAGAGTTCCCAAGTAGGCTGAAACTAGGCAAAGTTATACCAATTCTAAAAAAGTGGAACGAGCTTGATATTACAAACTACAGGGCAATCACTGTGCCGTCTGTACTTTGTAAAGTGTTTGAATATGCCTATTTGGATAGACTTCTTCTACATCTTAAGAACAACAATACTTTGTCTCAAAACCAGCATGGTTTCATAGATGGTACGACCACAATGTCAGCCATACATTCCTTTTATGAGAAGCTTATAGAATACATCGACGCGGGCGAGTGCCCTACTGGGGTATTTTGTGATCTCAGTAGGACATTCGACTGCGTTGATCACCACAAATTCTTGGAGATTGTTGTTAAATATGGTTTTGTCGGTCAGTGTCTTAAATGGGCCAGATCGTTTTTAGTCCAAAGAAAACAATATGTTTTAGTAGAATATCTTGACAATATGAAAAACTTTGAGTCAAGAACGTTAGACATCTCGATTGGAGTCCCTCAGGGCTCTATTCTTGGACCAATCTTTTTTCTCTTTTACATTAATCGGTTTGATAATGTTTATCCAGATACCCATTTTACATGGTTTAACCAGTACTCACTTTACTTGAATCCTTCCAAAACAACGCTTATTCGTTTTCATCGTGCTCAAAAAATTGTAGAAGGGTTTCAAGTTAGATTGGGTGACGATCAACTCGATTTTAGAGGAGAAGTGAAATTTCTTGGAGTTTATTTTGATTCGAACTTAAATTGGAAGGCCCACTGTGAATTTCTCACATCAAATTTAATAACATTTTAAGCTAAGTTGTGACATACTGGACTTTTATTTGTCATTTTAATAGTTTTTAATATTGTAAACATACATATAATATCCCGTTGGTATTGTACTACATTTTTGTTTTTGACGTTGCTTATGTTTTTTCTTTAAAATTTTGCTGGCAATAAAGAATATTATTATTATTATTATTATTATTATTATTAAAAATATACTCTCAAAGCTATGTGTTGAGGCAATTAAAAACCATCTTAACAGCTGAACAATTGATACAAGTTTATTTTGCTAATGTGGATTCGAGATTAAGATATGGAGTATGTTTCTGGGGTTGGTCAACGCGCTCTGAAGATGTATTTGTGGCTCAAAAAAGATGCATCCGATCATTAGCAGGCATCTCACCAACAGAAAGTTGCAAAAAATATTTTATAAGTTTCAACATTTTAACTGTCCCTTCGTTTTATATATATGAATTGTGCTTATATGTTTTTCAAAATAATGAAAAATTCAAGCGGAATTGTGATATGCATAATTATGATACAAGGACTTGTAATAATTTATATGTAAACTTTAGCAAATCAAAGGCGGCATTTCGATCACCTAATAAAATTGGTCCGCTTCTTTTTAATAATTTACCATGCCACATTACCTCGGTTAAAAATATTAATGACTTTAAGTTCCTGTTGAACCAATTTTTGATAAACAAGTGCTTTTATCGTGTTGATGAATTTTTGAACATTGCAATTTGAGATTAGTTGTAGGTTTGTAGCGAACGAAAAATTGACAATTCCAATACAATTATATATTGTCTGTATGGAAATAAAGGTTATTGATTGATTTATTGACTGATTGATTGATAGAAAATATGTTCTAGAACTTGTAGCTAAATTTTGGGAAACTGGGTCAGTCGCCAATAAAAAACGCAACATTGAAAATCCCTTTAGGAACGAAGTTTATGTAGATCCTACGTTAAGTACCCACAAATTGGAGACTGTGTGTGGTGTTAGTCGACGTACTGTCCAACGGATTCTAAAGGCCCATAGTTTTTATCCGTATAAAATTTACCTGGTACAAGTATTTAATGAAGACGATTTTGATCGGCGATTACAATTTGATGAAGATATGACTGAACGAATTATAAACGATGAACAATTTCTATTCAACACTTGCTTTTACGACGAATGTTCCTTTTTCTTAAATGGCGTAGTAAATCCTCATAACTGCCGATATTGGTCCGATTCTAATCCCAGAATTTATCATGAGGTTCATACACAGCAGCCACAAAAATTAAATGTTTGGGCTGGTATTTTTGGCGATCATTTAGTTGGTCCTTTTTTCTTACCTGGAAATTTCACCGGTGAAATGTATTTGGAATTATTGGAAGACGCCATAGATCCTGCATTGACAGCCATAATTGAAAATCAGAATGATCGGCGGTATATTGCGAATAGGGTTGACGTTCCAACAGGATGGTGCCCACCTCATTACGCATTACGTGTTCGACAATATTTAGATCAAAAAGCAAAATCTATGCTACTCAGTCAACATCATTAGAAGACCTGCGACAAAGAATTGTGAATGAGTGCCTTCAAATTACTGCTCAAATATTGCAAAATATGCGGCAACGTTTTGACCAAAATCTTTATTATTGCATGGATAGTCATGGTGACCATTTTCAACATTTACTTGCCTAACGGGTCAGTTCATTCTTCATTTTTAAATTACCTTGCTGCCAAATGTATTGATCTCCACTAATGATGATGTATTAGTTTTATTTAAGATTTAAATCAATAAATCTTCAAAACTACCGAACTGACGTATATTAATTTTATATCATTTTAAAGGGAATTGAAAGACCTTTAAAATAAGGTATCACTCGACCCCCCTTTCCATTTAAGATTTTGGGCGTGGTGTCACCTCCGGCTAGAGGGCTGCACGTGCTAACGTCATTTTTTGCCAAACTTGTGTCCACTCGAAAACAAAATCGACGGGTCTGAGCGTTTTTCCAAAAAAAAACTGAGCTGCCAATAAATGCGTCTGTTTCGTTTTAGATGCGCCACCCTACATAATCCTCCTTATAACTGGAGACAGTACGTGGAAGGATAGATTTTTCCATAGTGTAAGTCTACTTTCTGGAAGACACAGTTGTAAAAATTGTACATTTTTAGTTAGGTACTCACTTTGGTGTCTGGACTGTGATAGGATACTTCTTGATACCACCACTCTGCTTCGCCGTCGCATTCTGAGACTTCTGCGGTCGCCGCACGGTCTGGTACTGATGTTGTCGGACATCCGGTACGTCCCCGAAGCTGTACGTGGTCTCAGGCTGGGAAACGGTGATCAAGGGTGGTTGTGGTCCCGAGAATGCCCGCTGCTGGGCCAGTGATGATATCTGCTGGGACAGGGATGCCAGAGGACAGGTGGTGGGATTGTGATAGTTCCGGGGGTACTGCTGAAACGCAGCTACATCGTAGTACTGCGGGTAATTGTCGGCGGCGACGGCGATCAGCGTGTGAGGTCTGTTGGAGAAGAAAATAGATATACTGAAGTGCTCTTACGACTGCTACAGAACTCCATACTACTCCAAACTGAGATTCAAACCGAAGTTCAGCAGAATATCGTGCGGATGACAAATTGGCATTATAACGGGTGATTTTTTAAGAGCTATAGGATTTGATTTTCAAAAAAAAACCCAAAAAATTTCAAAAAACGATTAAGCCTTTATTTGAGTCGATAGAACGGTCGATATAATTTAATGTTTAAACATTATTTCATGTAAATGTTGGCTGCGGCTCCGCTTTAGATGGCCCATGCGTAAGGTCCAATTTTGGCACACTCTCTCCAACATATCGGCCGGTATCTCACGAATAAAGGCTTCAATATTGGCTTCCAGTGTGTCAATCGTTGCTGGTTTATCCCTGTAGACATCAGTCTTAACATGGCTCCACAAGAAATAGTCCAACGGCGTTAAATCACACGATCCAGGCGGCCAACTGACGGGCCCCAAACGTGAGATAAACTGTTCACCGAACTCGCCTCTCAATAGGGCGATTGTTTCGTGTGCGGTGTTGCATGTGGCACCGTCTTGTTGAAACCACATGTCAGCCAAGTCCAGCTCTTCCATTTTGGGCAAAAAAAAGTTTGTTATCATCGCACGGTACCGCTCGCCATTCACAGTTACGTTCCGGCCATTGTCGTCTTTGAAGAAGTACGGCCCGCTGATGCCACAGGCCCATAATCCACACCAAACAGTGATTGTTTCGGGATGTATTGGTAGCTCTTGCAATGCTTCTGGCTGGTCTTCACTCCAGATGCGGTAATTTTGCTTGTTATCGTACCCATTCAACCAGAAATGAGCTTCGTCGCTGAACACAATTTTTCGATAAAAATGTGGATCTTCCTCCAACTTTGCCAGCGCCCATTCACCAAATTGGAAACGTTGTGGGAGGTCGTGTGGCTTCAATTCTTGCACCAGCTGTATCTTATAAGGTTTTACACCCAAATCCTGTCGCAAAATTTTCCACGTAGTGGAGTAACAGAGGCCCAATTGCTGCGAACGGCGGCGAATCGACATTTCTACGGTCATCACTAACACTGGCGGATACAGCCGCAATATTTTCTTCAGTCCTCACTCTACGTCTGCATGTTGGTGGTTTATGTCCAATAATGTAAACTGGGTTCGAAATTTAGTCACAAGCTTCCGAATAGCTCCCTCAGTAGGCCGACCAAATTGCCCATAAATTGGAAGCAGTGCTCGATGCACTCTCTTAACCGAGCATGACTTTCGATAGTAAAATTCAATAATTTGCAAGCGTTATTCGTTCGTAAGTCGATTCATGGTTAAATTATAGACCAAACTGAACAAGTTTGACAATGACAGAAGACACGATTCACGCGTCATCTGTCAAAAACAGTGTTGCCAAAAAGATACTAGCAAAAAAATCACCCATTAGATATGCTGACTGGGAAGGACTTTTTCTTTGGGAGATGTCTTTTTAGATGTGTCAGTAACATTGGGGTTGAGAATAAGTCCGCCGTACAGTAAAAGTGCTTAAGACAGGGTCCAACGGCTGGCTTAACGAATTAAATGCTTGTCGACAGGAAATCAAGGCATACAGAGCCTGTTTACAATGCCCCACTGTAGAGAACAGGCAGTCCAAGTCGTGTCCGGGAACAAATATACAGGTTGTTTCAGTTTATTGTTGCATAACTTTAAGATTCGATAGAACTTTTAAAAGTAATGCATAAAGTCTATATAAACATAGGTCTAAAAATGCGTGGCTTTCGAAATACAGGGTGTTTAAATTTACTTTTTAAAATAGTTTATTTCAATATTTCGAAATATTTGATGTATAACATTGAAAATTGGTATACAAGGGTTTTTTGGTACGACAAAACGAACCATGGGCTAAGTTTTACTGTAGCCGCTAGAGGGCGCTCTCTACTGTACCTGTAGTGAATTAAAATGACCGAAAAATTTTTTTTAGTGTAACTTTTTTCTTTTTGAACAAAAAAACTGATTCTTCGCACCTTTCTGCATAAAAAAGCGTTCCTGTGTGTTTTCGTTATAGCTAACCGTTTTTGAGATATTTCGATTTTTAAGGTTCGATGCATTTTTAATTATATATGGGAAAATAATATTAATAGTATTAATTGTTTAATATCAATATTATTTTTAACAAATTAAATTAACTATTTATAACTAAAATGCTACTGGATAGTTAGGACAAACATACAAAATCTAAAGTAGTTGCTCGAAATGTAAACCCAATTGTTTAATACACAATTCACATCTTCGAATGATCGAACGTGGTATAGCATTATTCAAATAAGGCCTTATTTCATCACATGCATTCCTGATTCTGTCTATTAGCATATCTCTTGCGGTTACGGGAGTCTGGTACACTTTTACTTTTAGAAATCCCCACACAAAGAAATCTAATGAATTTAGGTTAGGGGATCGTAGAGGTCAGGCGACTGGTCCTCCACGGCCGATCCATCTTTTTGGATAATTTTCGTCCAGCCAGTTTCTAACTATTCTCGAATAATGAGCTGGACAACCATCAAGCTGGAACCAGGCCAATCTTCTTGAATCTAACATAAGATCATCCCACATATTTGCATGTTCAGACTTTAAAAATTCCAAGAAGCATTTAACCTTGCAGGCAAAAGGTAGGGTCCAAATAGTCGATTACGATAGATACCAATCCATACGTTCACACATGCTGAAAATTTCTTTCCCGAACTGCATGCGGATTTTCATGCGACCAAATATGTTGATTAGGAAAATTTACAACTCCACGTCTAGTGAAGCATGACTCATCGGTCCATAAAACGTTACTTAAAAACTCCCTATTATTATCAGTTCTATCAAGAATCCACTGACAAAATGTGATTCTTCGTTCTCCGTCCCCTGGCTGTAGTCCTTGCACAGGTTGCAAATGGTAAGGACGTCTATGGTCATTTCTAAGAACACGGTGAACATGGCTTGCTGAAATGCCCAAGGCACCAGAAACTCTCCTAACACTTGTGGTCGGATCTCCAGCAAACTCAAGCAGGATCATACGGGTAAATCTGCGCTGACGAACATTTATGTTTTGATCCCTTTGGAGATTTCCAAAACCATTTTCAATTATTTGGCGATGCACTCTTACAAATACTGAGGGAGTTGGATGTCGTCTGTTTGGAAATCTTCGTGCGTATTCTCTGGCTGCTTCTGCTGCGTTTCCATTTACAAAGCCATACACAAAATGACTATCCGCTTACTCTTGATTGGAGAATAAAAATGGCATTTTTATAAAGCTTACAAAAAAGAAAACAGGTAAAAGAAACTAAATTTCGCGTATTCACAATTGCAAAAAAACGTTTCAGGTTTCAACAGACAACAAAACTAACTGTCAACTAATTGACGTTTAACCTTATTCTGCTTTAAATTTCAAAAATATTTGCAGGCACAGCCTACTTCTAAAAATTATCGAAATACTAACTTTTCAACGTTATTTTATCATAAATAATTGAAAATGCATCGAACCTTAAAAATCGAAATATCTCAAAAATGGCTACATATAACGAAAATTCACAAGAGAGCTTTTTTATGTTGAAAAGTGCGAAGAATCAGTTTTTTTTCAAAAATCAAAAAATTTCCTAAGAAAAATTTTTCGGTCATTTTAATACACTACATGTACAGTAGAGAGCGCCCTCTAGCGGCTACAGTAAAACTATGGTTCGTTTTGTCGTACCAAAAAACCCTTGTATATCAATTTTCACTGTTATACATCAAATATTGTTCGAAATATTTAAAAAAAAACTATTTTAGAAAGTAAATTTAAACACCCTGTATTTCGGAAGCTACGCATTTTTCGACCCATGTTTATATAGACTTTATGCATTAATTTTAAAGGTTCTATCGAATCTTAAAGTTATGCAACAATGAACTGAAACACCCTGTATAACAAAGCAGTTCGCAATGCCAAATACCAGCATCATGTAAAAATAAGACGCAGGGTAATGCCTCGGAGCAATGGTAGTCACTTTTTCTGGACGCTGGCTAAGCAGATTGAAGGGAACTTTTCAAAGAATGGTCTGGAACTGCGTACGTGCCAGGATGGAACTATTGTAACTGAGTCAAAGGCTAAAGCGAAAATGGTTGCCAAGATCTTTGCCGCCAAATCTACTACGGACGTAGACTGCCGTCGATTGAAGCGATCTTTACATTATGCGAGAAGTAATATTTAGGCATAAGGCCGCAAGATGGGTGATCTTGTCGCTCGATATCAACAAAGCTTCTGGTCCAAACTTGATCCCTGCTATTCTTTTGAAAGGATGTGCAGCGGAACTTGCACCAGTTCTTGCGCGCCTCTTCTAGATATCTTGTGAGTCCGTCACTTTTATAGAATACTGGAAATTTGCACATGTCCATCTCACCTTAAAGAAAGGAATTAAGACCCTCACAACTATAGGTCTGTATCTCTGATTTCTGTTATAGGTAAGGTGATGCTATGGTGCTTCTGGAGTGCCTGAACGTCATGACTTGATTCGCGACAGTCATTATGGTTTCCGTCACCAGCGATGCACCAAGGACCTCCTAGCTTACGTCGCGCAACTGTAGAGTGAACTTATCTAGTCTTATGGTTATGCTCAGGTCATTGCTGTGGATATTACCAAAATGCTCTATCAGCCGTGGCATGCTGCCCTGATATGCAAACTTCCATCCCATGACCTCCCAGAAGTTTTGCAGATGGGCGGATAACTACCTACAAGATATCCTTCGTTATTGATAGGTTCTCCTCTTCATACCACAATCTCAACGTGGGTGTTTCCCAGGAATCAATCATTGCTCCGCAACCATTTTTATCACATATCAATAACGTCTTTTCCTGTACGATCAATTATATAGATCCTAGCTCTCGTAAAGGCATCGCTCTAGATGCAGTAATTCAGAGAGTTGGTGATCTGAAGAAAAGAAGACTACCTTTAGTGTGAAATGAACTGTCGTTGATAGACTAATTCCGCTTTTGTTTGTCAAGTCACGATGTGATTCCTGACATGCAATTCAGCTTTCGGTTTGAGCGTAGTACCGAGCTGCAGGCAGTCAGGCTGGTGGGACATGTAACGAGAGGATTTATCCTCAGCATGAGTACTGGTATCTTGCTTTTGGATGTCTCAAAAGCCTTTGACAAAGTGTGGCATCCTCTATAAACTAATCTAGAAAGGTTTTCCTGTTTGGTTCTCAAATTACTAGAATCCGTCAACAACACGGTCAGTACGGACCGGGGTTCTACAGGGTTCGGTCCTAGGACTAATTCTCTACTCGCTCCTTATCCACGACGTTCCTTGCCCCAGCAACTGTGAAATCTACCTCTACGCTAACGACACGGGCCTTGTCGTGTACTGGTGATCTGGTTCACAATGGGTTGCAGAGTGTGATGGACGAAGTACTAGAGTGAGCGATCCCCAGCCGATGCTTCGGTAGACGGAAATCGTATACCATCGACAAATTTTGTCAAGCATCTCGGTGTCACCCTTGATGAACGCATGACCTGGCAACTATTCACTTTGTTATGTAGATCATCCTAATTAAGTTTGATAAACGAACTCTGACTATTAAAACCATTACTAGACCAGCCATTACTTATGCATATGCGGCTTGATGCTTTCTTGCCAAGGCACACATGCAACGTCTTCAAATACCGCAATGCAGAACTTTACGAACAATTTGCAACGTTCCAAGGTATGTCCCAAATGAGACATGACGTGAGTCCTTGACATTCCGTACTTGAGAGATTATGTCAAACTTCAGGCGCAGCGATGTTATAGATGTTAGTAAGCCCAAAATTACACTCTAACAAAACAGACTCCAAATTTGTTTTTAGTTCACCTCAAAATAAATCCGTGTACCAAGTCAAAAAGTCTATACTACAACTATTTAAAACTGTAATGACTCATACGCGTGATCAACACGTGATCAGAGCTCGATCCCGGCTTCCTTCCAGTACAGCCGTATAGCGTACGACATATTTCGTTTCTGTGGCTTTGCGGTGGTCAACAGCACAGACAGAGATGGAAATAATGGCTGATTGTTCTCCGCCGGTAGAACCAATGAAATCAAAGACGCGCCTCGACCGGCAGACTCATAGGCGTCGGCAACGCATTGGAATGTGTTTCGTTGAGCGATCGCATATTGTGTGTTTTTATAAGAATTGTTGTGTGATTGCTATTGTTGTGGTTTCTGTGGTTACCGTTTTGATTATACTTAACCATGGAGAGTACAAATGGCACGAGTGAAAGTACTGAAAGCCAGGGAACAAGTAGACGGCTTCGTAAAGCACTGAAGAGGGACGCCAACGAAATCGTGCTCAACGTGTTCAATTATCTGAACAGAACTATGTCGCAGGGAGATGCACTCGCGCGTTGTGAAAGTATGACAGGCGTTCCAGAGTGGACCATTCGCAGGGTGGTGCATGAAAAGAAGAAAACTGGAGCTACTACTGATCCAAAGCTTAATTTGAAGGGACGAAAGGCCGTTAAATTGGATGACGATAGCAAAATGGCGTTAAGGCGAACCGTACATTCATTCTTCTTTAGGAATGAGATACCAACCCTCAAGGCTGTACATGCAGCGATCAAGGAAGATGAAATTATACCCCAAATGAGCGTCGAGGTAATGAGGAAATCCCTGCACGAAATTAATTTTCGTTACGAAACGCGTAATCGGAAGTCAGTATTGATAGAGAGACCTGAAATAGTCGCCTAGCGTCGAAAATACCTACGCGAAATGATTAAATATAGGCGACAAAGCAGAAAAATCTATTATTTGGACGAGACATGGGTAAATGCAGGTCACACAGTTAAAAAAACCTGGATAGACAAAAACGTAGTGAGTAACCGACAAGCAAGCATTGAAGGTTTGTCAACAGGTCTTCGTGGACCGTCAGGGAAAGGTCAAAGATTGATCGTAACTCATACTGGTAGCGATAGTGGCTTTTTAGAAGAGTGTGACTTCATTTTCGTCTCTAAGAAAGGAGGTGATAACCATGACGAAATGAATGCCAGCTGCTTCGAGAGCTGGTTTCAAGGGGTGCTTCAGCGAGTTGAGCCCAACTCTGTGATCGTCATGGATAATGCTTCCTACCATAGTCGTCGAGCCGAACGTGTACCGACTATGGGATCTCGAAAAAGTGACATGCAGCAATGGTTGCGCGAAAAGGAATCCCGTTTGACGATTCATGTGTGAAAGCGGAATTGTATGAAAAAATTAAACAGCACAAACCTGCGAACATTAGTTACGTGACTGATGAGATGGCCCGTCAATGTGGTGTCACTGTGCTGCGGTTACCGCCCTACCACTGTGAACTGAACCCAATAGAGCTCATCTGGGCTCAAGTGAAGGGTTATATTGCGCGCCATAACACAACCTTCAAATTACCAGACGTTAAGGTTTTACTTGAGACTTCCATACAGCTAGTAATGCCCGAAGCTTGGCAGAATGCTATCCGTCATGTTGTGAAGGAAGAAACCAAAATGTGGCAGCTTGACCACCACATCGACACCATCATAGAGCCAGTTATAGTCAATTTCAACGAGGAAAGCGATAGCGACAGTTTATTACTGTCAGATGTAAGTGGAAGCGACGATGAATAAAGGTAATTCCCAAATTTTTGACTTACAATATGTTTCAAACCACTCTTTATTAAGCATGTGACAAATCTAGTTCACCCATGTTAAACATTCATACCCCGCCTATGAACAGCCGACTACTGGTAGTTAAGTGATGTTCACGTGAACATCGATTAGTCATTTCAGTTTTAGATAGTTATAGTATAGGCGCTTTCCTCTTAAACTGAAACTTTTTGTTTGCTGTTTTTCTCTTTTCTTCTTTTTCCCTTTCCCTTTCTCCTTGAAATTGTCTGGTTTCTGGGCAACCACGACTGACAGATTCGACTAACGTACATTAGTCAATGACTAATGCGCAAATGTCCTACGGATCGTCCAGACTGACAAATGGCGAATGTCTTAACGTAAAATTGCTTCAGCAACCTCCATAAGTCAAGCTGAATCTAAAAAATAGCTTACCTCTTGTGAGGCTTCGTTCCAGCTTGGCTCCCGTAAATCCCAGGATCGCCCGCTTGTGCCCCAGTGTGCCCAGGTACGACCTGATTCGTGTCATACGCGTCTCCAAGTTGGACGTACTGTTGCGTCTGATGATCTGAATAGCAACCATCACTATCCGAAACGTAATCGGTGCTGAAGTCTCCCTCTTGCTTGCGGTGCACCTGCTCTAGGTTGTTGTAGTATTCGGTGGTCGTATAGTATGTATAGGGTTGTTGATTCTGTTGTTGGAAGTTTTGAGGCTGATTTTGCTGTTGTAGCTGCTGCGGATGGATGTTCCGGGACATACTGAAAATGACAAGACAACCGACGTTAAGGACACGTTCGCGGTTTTTTCGCAGGAACAAAAACAAATTCTTTACTATAACTGTTCCAGTTTAACATGTTGTACAATATTGAATTATGTGTAAAAAATACAGAACTCAAAAAATTCTTGTTGCTCCTCTTCGCCTTCGTCGGCCTGATACTGAAATATAGGCGTGCTCTTTATGGTGAAGTCTCTATCAACGGAGGCCTAGCAATTGTGTAATTATTTCGCTGTTTTTCTTAATCTCAAATAGAATCAGTTTGTTATTTTCATTGATATTCGTTTATTGTGTTAAGCACAAACATTTTGACGTCACCATTTGCAACCTGGGACTTGCCAACCATTTGTTGACTGGTCAGTCTGATTCAAAATGGCAGGTATTTGTTCTCACTGCGACTGATTGTCCACCTGTCAGTCTGATGGTTCAGCTTTTCAGTATAACTTGTACCTAGTGATAAACATAATCTACAAATATACTAGGTGACATATAAATCCGAACACCCAGTTTAAATGGTTTTATTTTAATAAAATTTTGTATAAGTACTTAATGAAGCATAATAAGTAAATGATAAAAATTTCAAAATGATTGCACTGCTTTAAAGCCCTTTGACCTTTAATAATGTGTGGATGCACCCTGATGTGCTACGCATTCTCCAACACGCCTAGGCATGCTTCCGATCAGGTCGTCAATGTCCTCCTGTGGTATCTCATTCCAGGCAACCACCAACTCCTCTCGAAGTGCTTCTAGAGTCTGAGGAGGACGTTGCAAATTGAGCAATCTCCTACCCATCATATCCCACACGTGCTCAATTAGAGATAAGTCGGGAGATCTTGGTGGCAATGGTAACAATGTGACATCATTATGTTGAAAGAAGTCGATTGTGACTCTTGCAACATGTGGTCAGGCATTATCTTGTTGGAAAGTTGGATCTGCCAGGGTGTCAAGATAGGGTAAAAGATGGGGTTCTAGAACTTCGTGGATATAACGCTGCGCGTTCATGTTACCTCTGATAAAGATTAAAGGTGACCTGGAACCATAAGCTATAGCACCCCAAACCATAACTCCAACAGTGTGATGAACATGTCTCTCAACAAAAAACTGTGGATTCCTCCTTTCACCACGTCGCCTTCTAACCCTGGCACGACCATCGTGCATGCCTAAACAAAATCGAAACTCGTCACTAAAGACAATACTGTTCCATTCCTGATCCCAGAGTGACCGTTGTCTGCACCACTCAAGGCGATTACGTCGTTGTTCTCGAGTTAAAGGGAGGACCCAGTGTGGCCGGTATGAAAACAAGCCAAAACTTCTCATTCGTCGGTAAACACTTCGCATGCCAATAGGTCTTCCGTGTTCTGCAAACCATTCATTTGCAATGGACCTAATAGTGGAGAAACGGTCCCTTAAGGCCAATAATCTTAGGCGGCAATCTTCACGGTCTGTTGTTCTACGGCGGCGTCCAGTGCCCCTTGCTCTTTGCGTACGGCCTTCTCGAAGACATGCCTGACAACACCTAACCACAGTGTCTACACTTCTTTGCACTCTAACTGCACTTGCCCAAAAAGAAAGTCCAGCTTCCCGAAGTCCCACTATACGGCCCCTATCAAACTCACTATGTTGACGAAGTCGTACAGGTCTCCGTACTCTAGGCATCGTAACCGATCGTAAAGGATGTCAAGAACCAAAATCCGCCAACGTTGATTCTTTACTGCGGCTGAAGTATTCATTTTTAGAGCGTTAGTGAATTAAAAAATAGCAGTATAAAAACCGGAATGTCCAACTGATAAGGCTGAACATTTTTTCACTTGTTCTTTACAGTAAGATAAATACATTCACCAACTTTTATTAGAATAAAACCATTTAAACTGGGTGTTCGGATTTATATGTCACTTAGTATACTTTGTAAACAGATGGTATGTCGAAAACGCTTAGAAACAGAAAGTATGAATTGATCAAAATATTTCGAAAAATACATTTTTTTTACACCAAAGCAGCCGCACTGGCAGAAGCCTAAATGAAAGGGCACTACGGCTGCTATGAGGATTTAAGGAAAACCTTGCTAATCCGATTTTTGAACTGCTTAAGGTTAGTAGAACTGAGAAAAGCCTCCGCTTGTAGATCGTTCCCCAATCTCGACACCCTAGGGATAAAAGAGCGATCGTATTGGCCAGTTCTGGATGTACGAAGTTCGACACGGTTAGGATGGAGAGATGAATTCCTCGATGATATGGACTCCGACCAGCCGAAATGAACGGCAGTTTGGCAGAACTCGGTCATCCATCCAAACCGCACGACCTTCAAGGTCAATCTAAAATCGGATAAAGTCCAAGGTAAGCTCCATACTTTTTGTCAGGGATACAAACATTGAAACATTACAACTAATTCAATGTTGCCTCAAAATGTTGGATAAGGAATGTTCATGGCCAAAAGTGGCTATTGCATAGCTTTGAATATTGCATTTCTGTACCCAAAACCGAGGCAAAAATAATAACTACTACTTTAAACTACTTCCTTACGAGCGGAGCCGCGGGTCTAGTCTAGTATGTCTTCAAAGTTGGGGCATTCCTTCACGCAGCGTATAGATCTTGGAAACCTCCACCTAAATCAGTCAAACCTAAACAAACCCTAATCCAGTCCCGCACCTCGATCAGATCAATCGTGAACATGCGAACACGCGTTTGTAAACAAAACCTTCACAGATCGATTCTAATAAAAATGGCAAACCCGAACAGCAATATCTAAGTTGACCAAACTATTTTAATTTACGCTGAGCGTCTTCGAAATGCTACCGAGGCTTCGCGAGTGCATGCAGATCGTTTTTGATGATCCTCCTGATTTCTTTTTTGTTTGGGGCGAAATTAAATATTTATTGCATAAAACTGAGGTAACCACGGTTGACGAAACACGTGTGCGAATTTAGCAATCTGCTACATTTATTCGGGAAAGGTAGTCTATTCTAATCTAATTCAATCCAATACCGATGCTTGGTAATGTCGAGCACATATGTTATTTGTGTCTGCGAAACTATCGCAGTACTTACAAATGACTTGAAGTGCCTTTTCGATACAATAAGCACTATTTCATTTATTCTTCAAGGATAGTTGTTACTGAAAAGGAATGTCCAAACTTTCAGGAGACCCTGTATAAAAAGCACTCATTCAACCGACTCTGTCCCGAGACTCCAAACAGATAAACAATCTGCAGAGTAATCGCCGTTCACAGGGTAAATCTTCCATGTTCCCGTCGTAGAACGATTACAAAATCGTCTGCCTTCGTCAGTTTAGAACGGCATTAAAGACATTGTTGTTTATCAAGCTCCAGGCTCCTCCAATAGTAGAGTTGGGGAATCGACTATTCCAATGACTTAAGGACTAGTTGCCTTTCTGGATGTACTGCGACGCATTGAACGTCATACAGTGAATACTGAATTGGGAAAATATCCCTTTTGGTAAGTACAACTACGTATATAACTATAAAGTTTACAAGGGAAGAAAAGAGCAATAACCTCCCATTCTTTGAAGTCATGGTAACAAAGAGGAATTCCAAAATAGAAACTACTGAATACATAAGCATACAGGGCAGGACATAAATTTCTGTTCCAGTCATCCAGCAATCACGAAGAAAGGCGTAATTAGAACCCTCATCAACCAGGCAAAGGATATACGCAAATCTCCAGGAAGGAATCAGCCACACTAAGGAAGATCTAATAGGAAATGGTTGCCCAAGACGACTGATAAATGAAGTTCTAAAAAAGACAACACCAACAGTAGAAACATATTATGGAATTAATACTAATTCTACCATATGTTGAGGAAGTAAGTGATGCAATCGGAAGAATAGGAGGACGATACCAAATCGAAACTGAATTTTCAAGGAACACCTCATTTCGTTGAAGTATTCTCGCAAAGACAAAACCTACGATCGAAAACCAAAAAGGTAAGGAATCCGTGCACCAGGTATCATAGAGCGTAGAGATATACAGGGTGTCCGCAAAGTTGGGGGTTTCCTTTTCAGAGACAACTACCCTTGAAATAACAAAGGTAATGTGTAGCGAAACGAGGGCGACCAAGTAAAAAAAAAATAAAGGACAAAGTACTCACTCTCCAGTTGACGAGAAGGGCTAAGTACGTCTCTGCCCGAAATCATACCGCTCCAACAGAAAATGAAATCAGCTGATGCGCTACCAAGCAGACGCCGGCGGTGGTGCAGACCACGAACAGAGGTAACAAATATGACGGCGTTGCCGCGTTTTCAGTTTTTAGGTAAACGTCCTTTATAGGTATTGTTCGAAGTTATCGCCGTTTGATTAAAAAACACAGGTGCGTGCACGACATAGCCAAGCATCGGTGTAGGCTTTGAGAATGGAGTCCCTCCCCCGAATGAAAGCACCAGCTTGTTCAATTCTGAGACGAAGTTCGTCAACCGTGTGCACTTCAGTTTTGTACACTAAGCGTTTCATTTCGCCCCAAAGACAAAAATCACATGGTGTTAAGTCTGGAGATCGCGGAGGCCACGCTACGGGTCCATTACGTTCGATCCACCTATTCGGAAATAATTCATTCAAAAACTCACGCACTTCGCGTCTAAAATGGGGCGGTGCACCATCGTGCAGAAACCACATTGATTGTCTTACACTTAATGGCACATCTTCTAACAAGGAAGCCAAAATGTTGCGTAAAAAGTCTAGGTATTGCATCCCGCCCAATCGATTTGGGAGAATAAATGGTCCAATGAGCATACCGTTCACCATGCCAGCCCAAACATTCACCGAAAATGTTTGTTGAAAATGTGCCCTACGGACAGCGTGCGGATTTTCTACTGACCAAATATGAGTGTTGCGAAAGTTATTCACCCAATTACGCGTGAACGTAGATTCGTCTGTCACCAATATGCACTTCAAAAAGTCCGGATTATTGTCATGTTGATGCAACAACCACTCACAAAACCTCACTCTTGCTGGAAAATCGTCAGGTTGAAGGGATTGTACACGTTGGACGTGGAACGGATACAGCCCCTCTTCACGCAGCGTTTGCCACACTTTAGTTTTTGATACTTGCACTTCTCTAGCCACGTCTCTAGTGCTTGTTGAGGTATTCTCGTCTTCGCGATTACCTCTACACGCGTGACCGTAACCGTCGGTTGAAGGTTGCATACTGACCTGACACACTGACCCCGACCCAGTCTGTCGTCGGGTTGAGCCAGTGACCTTGTACCACTCGGTGATGTCGCGGGTCGCGGCTACAGGACGGTATTCAGATATGTATATGGTGTATATGGTACTAAGAAAAATTGCTTATGTTTTCAAGATCTACACGTCGTGTAAAGGAAAACCTCAACTTTGCGGACACCCTGTAGATAAGAGAAAAAAAAATACCACCTCAGTAAGAATAAAAGGAGATCACGCTTTAGCGAAGCATCTCAGAATAGTTCAGAGCCATGCTAAGATCTTTCACACAGAACCACACTGACATCGGACAAACATTTAAGAAAGCAACCTTCATGATGATGAATGGAAACGCTTACAGTAATCCAAGTGTTTAAATTGAAGCAGTATGACAACCGATAATAAGGAACATTGAACAACTGCGGCTCAACCGACCAAAACGAGGGACACGTCACAACCAACCACCGGCCACGTTATCAAGCGGTATAAATAGTAAAAAAGGAGCATGTTCGACAGCTTCACCTGATGATGATTGAAGATCACATCAATCGAAGCGTCGTCGATCAAAAAATCTTATAGGCAATGAAAGTGCGACAAACAACTTTCCAATCATCCTCATTGCCATCAAATATCAAACAACAAGACTACGTATAGTTTTTTTCACGGTTTTGATGATTACGTATCAATCCCATACGAAATAAGTAAACCGACCAACCAATGGTACCATGTGCGTAACTGAGGGAAATTACACACTGCGCAAATCGATTCATAACCCAGCTGCTACTCGCTCTTACACACACCAATGGAGCTCCCAAGGATACGTAATAGAGGTAATTATACCTTCTTCCTCCCAGACGACTCAAAAAATTAATTGTGGTCATAAGATAATACATTGCCAAAAAATTTTACAATGATGTTCAATTTCATTTACAAAAAGACCATACCACTAACCATTTCACTATTCCTGCTTTCTCCCTGTATACAATTCGTATCAATACTTAAGTACACTTCATTAGGCTCCTACATATACTCTCATACAAAGGGGCTGTAACTAGAAACTATCAACTATACTAGGTGACATATAAATCCGAACACACAGTTTAAATGGTTTTATTTTAATAAAAGTTGGTGAATCGATTTATCTTACTGTATGTAACAAGTAAAAAAATTTTCAGCCTTATCAGTTGGACATTCCGGTTTTTATACTGCATTTTTTTGATTCACTAACGCTCTAAAAATGAATATTTCGGGCGCAGTAAAGAATCAACGTTGGCGGATTTTGGTTCTTGACATCCTTTACGATCGGTTACGATGCCTAGAGTACGGAGACCTGTACGATTTCGTCAACTTAGTGAGTTTGATAGGGGCCATATATTGGGACTTTGGGAAGCTGGATTTTCTTTTCGGGCAATTGCAGTTAGAGTGCAAAGAAGTGTAGACACTGTGGTTATGTGTTGTCAGGCATGGCTTCGAGAAGGCCGTACGCAAAGAGCAAGGGGCACTAGACGCCGCCGCAGAACAACAGACCGTGAAGATCGCCGCCTAAGGTTATTGGCCTTAAGGGACCGTTTCTCCACTACCAGGTCCATTGCAAATGAATGGTTTGCAGAACACGGAAGACCTATTGGCATGCGAAGTGTTTACCGACGAATGAGAAGTTTTGGCTTGTTTTCATACCGGCCACACTGGGTCATCCCTTTAACTCGAGAACACCGACGTAATCGCCTTGAGTGGTGCAGACAACGGTCACTCTGGGATCAGGAATTGAACAGTATTGTCTTTAGTGACGAGTCTCCATTTTGTTTAGGCATGCACGATGGTCGTGCCAGGGTTAGAAGGCGACGTGGTGAAAGGAGGAATCCACAGTTTTTTGTTGAAAGACATGTCCATCACACTGTTGGAGTTATGGTTTGGGGTGCTATAGCGTATGGTTCCAGGTCACCTTTAATCTTCATCAGAGGTAACATGAACGCGCAGCGTTATATCCACGAAGTTCCAGAACCCCATCTTTTACCCTATCTTGACACCCTGGCAGATCCAACTTTCCAATAAGATAATGCCCGACCACATGTTGCAAGAGTCACAATAGACTTCTTTCAACATAATGATGTCACATTGTTACCATGGCCACCAAGATCTCCCGACTTATCCCCAATTGAGCACGTGTGGGATATGATGGGTAGGAGATTGCTCAATTTGCAACGTCCTCCTCAGACTCTAGAAGCACTTCGAGAGGAGTTGGTGGTTGCCTGGAATGAGATACCACAGGAGGACATTGACCACCTGATCAGAAGCATGCCTAGGCGCGTTGGAGAATGCGTAGCACATCAGGGTGCATTCACACATTATTAAAGGTCAAAGGGCTTTAAAACAGTGCAATCATTTTGAAATTTTTATCATTTACTTATTATGCTTCACTAAGTACTTATACAAAATTTTACTAAAATAAAACCATTTAAACTGGGTGTTCGGATTTATATGTCACTTAGTATATTAGTAGCCAGAATTTTTCTTTAAAAGATATTCAGAAATACTAAGTAAGCCTCAGATGCCCAAAACCAAGGAAAAAGAAGGGAACTCGATGAAAATATATTAAATTTATATGAAAGTATTATGGGGCAGTTAATAACTAAAGCACAACTAATGAAAAAAAATCTACTAAATAAGTAAGTATATACTCGCACTTGTAAGCAAATTATTGGCTTTATTTATATCTTCTGATATTATGAGCATTTGCAAAAACATTTACTCATAATTTTATTCATACTAGTTAAGCATTTACTTTGAGTTTTTCAATTATAGGCATACGCTCCCTCATATTCATATGACCTCAAACTTCTTTACAAAGATGAACTTTCACCTTTTTTTGTATTGTAATTGTTTCATACGTGAAAAAGCTGGAATATCGTTTTCATTCTATCAGCACGTTTGTGTCAACCTACGTTTTCGTAAATACATTGCAACCTTTGCTATTACTTAACTTATATTACTACCTTGATTCCCAAGAAAGTTTCGGTTCTTAAGTGGCCCATCTCTAGCATCTGTCGCCTCCTTGTATAAAAAGCAAGAATCGCTGACGTGACGCGGTTCAAATAATCTCGTAATTACAAAATCCTTGCAGGATTTGCCACTCTCTCAAATGTACGAGTACGTAAACCAAGAAAAACGACGATTCTGAAATTGCTTAGAAAACCAAGCATCTGTATCCATACGCGAATAAGTAAGCATTCATTGAGCCTAACGGCAGATCAAACCAAAATAAGGAACACAAGTTGATGCGAAGAGGTCAGCACAGGCCAGTACCGGAAACTGTTATTTAAACAAATGATAATTAATAATAATAATAATCCCACGAGATGTCTGAATACGCTATTCGACACGACACAGTTGAAACGATCTTACACCATTCAATCTGCAAAAATTATGACGTTGACGTTAAGCAACATTGGTATGAGCTTGAAACACTTCAGTTCGTAACTGCCAGTAATGTTATCATTCTTTGGAATCAGCCTATAATAACACCAAGCAGTTGCTGCCAACAAACAGGACATTGTGATCAAAGATCATAAGAATAAGCTCTGCACTATAATTTATACTGCAGTACGATCAGATTACAATGTGAAAGATAAAGAGGCTGAAAAATTGGTTCCACAGGTGCCGCATCTAAGAATAGTGACGCACATGTAGAGGAAATTTCAGGTGCCCTGAACCTTTATCAGCTGCAAACTGTGGCCATATCGGTCCATCCCACATTACTTCCTAGGGGTCTATGACAACCTGCAAGGGGTCTACGTCAACGAAAAAAAATTTGGGGGTCCATGAAATTAATATGGGGGTCCACGATAGTGGATCTCAATACATACACTGATCGTACCTATTTACTTACATCATACTATAATATCAAAACATATACATTATTTATAAAAGTACCTATGAAGTAAAAAACTTATTATATATGTTTATAAAATTGTGTCAGTTGTAGAATGTTGGTATTCGCTTTGTGGTCGCAATATATTTTGAACTTGTGAAAACCTGAGAGTCGCAGTCTCAGAGCTTCGCTACCTTGCACTGACTTCTTCAATTCAATTCAATTCAATTCAAATACTTTCAAACACTCAAAGATAAATTTCAGAAGAGACCTACACTGGACAGAATGTGCGCTTCGACGTCACAAAGAAATGATGATGGTTTGCGGGCGTCTTACAATATCTCGTTACTTATAGCAAAATCCGGAAAACCGCATACTATCGGAGAGAAGTTAATTTTGCCAGCCGTTGAAGAGGTTTTAAAAACTGTTTTACACAAACCTGCATCTGATATCATTAAAAGAATTCCCTTAAGCAACAATACTGTTGAAAGACGTACTGATGAAATGAGTTCTGATATTCTTATGTAATTATTTGCAAACGACCCATTTCTCTATACAACTGGACGAGTCAACTTTACCTGATAATGCAGCATTATTATTGGCATATGTTCGTTTTATTATGAATCAAGAAATCTACGAAGAACTGCTCTTCGCAAGAACTTTGATAACCAACACTAAAGGTGAATCAATATTTCATGTTCTGAAGGACTACTTCATTGAAAAAGCAATTCCTTTATCAAATGTAATATCAGTAGCTACAGATGGAGCACCTGCCATGATTGGACGTTATCGTGGATTTATAAGGTATTTAAAACAAAATGTGTCAGGGGTGTTAGCAATACATTGCGTCATCCATCGACAACATTTAGTTGCTAAAAATTTGAGTGTTAGATTGCATGAATCACGTCATTTAGTCATTGATGCAGTAAACCGAATCCGAAGCAACGCGTTGAATACGCGGTTATTTGCGCAGTTGTGTGATGAAAATGACGAACACTTTCATCAATTACTCCTTCACACTGAAGTACGCTGGCTGTCGAAAGGCTTATGTTTGACAAGATTTTTTGCACTTTTTGAGACTATTTTAGAATTTCTGGATACTAAAGATAAAATGTTAAAAGAAAATTTAATGAAGAGGAAAACAGACATCGCCTATTTAACAGATTTGTTTACAAAATTTAATATGGTTAATTTGCAATTACAAGGCGACAGTTTAAATTTAGTTAAAACAAAGTCCATCTTATCAGCGTTTCTTGCCAGAGTTAAACTAATGAAGCAAAATATTGGACGGGGCGAATTTTCTCAGTTCCCCAATTTGTCACAGACAAGCTGCCAGGAAGACGACGGACGTTTCAACTTACGTTCAACATTTAAATACCCTCTATTCAGATTTTGAATCTAGGTTTGAGGATATTTGGACTATGGTAATACCACCGTGGATAATTAATCCATATGGTGACATAGAAGATACGAATGTCATAATACAAGAAGAACTGACTGAACTAAGTACAAACGCAGAACAGGTTCAGTTTAAAAACGGATATCAGCAATTCTGGCTGCAAAACAACATACCCGTTACTTATCCTGTATTATGGAATATAGCGAGGAAATTTTTAATTTCCTTTCCATCGTCATACCTCGTGGAAAGGGGGTTCAGCGCTGTTACCAATCTCCTAACGAAAAAAAGAAACAGACTGGACATCATTAGCCGAGGAGATTTAAGATTAGCCCTTACAAAATTGACGCCAAATGTTGATAATTTATTATTAAAGCATCAGGTTCATCCTTCTCACTAAAAATATTGACTTATTGCTTATGTTATTTTATTTATAGTTTATTTTATGTTTATTGGTGTCTGACCAATAAATGCCCGCATTGGGAATAAGTGCCCGAATAGATTTTTTCAAAGACCCCCCTTTATAGAAAATATTTTTTTTTATTATTCTGAAAGTTCAAGGATAGGTACACACTCAAATTCGCTAATTTTTTGCCTATTTTAGATAACTGAAACGTATAAGAAGCGGAATTTAATCAAACTAACAGTGAAATTATTGTAGAACATACGTTTATGTTATAATTAATAAACGAACTCGCTTATTGTACTATTTTAAAAACTTTTTTTTATTATTTTTCAGTTTTTTTTATTTTATCCCTTATTTTTTTTTTCAATGCGTTCACTTATTCCCAATGCGGGTACTTATTGGTCAGACACCTGTTTATTTAATGTTACGTATATTTTACATAACAGATACAAAATTTTATTTTGAGTAGTTTTAATTTAAATTCAATTAATAAATGTATAAACTAACATGTGTTTTTACTTTAAGTTTTTAACACTAAACTTCACTACAGTTAGAAATTTACAGGAAATCAGTATCACGTAAGTAGGGGGTCTACCCAACACGGAAAACCATGGCAAGGGGTCTACGACACAAAAAAGTTTGGGGAACCTAAGCGGTATGGCATACCCCCAATTTGAAGAAAGTAGGCTAGCCACCAGCAAACAATAGCTGAGAAATTGAAAGGATAATAATAATAATAAAGTCTTTATTCAGAAACTGATCATATGGCGAAGTTTACCCGAGAATACTCTACGACTTAACCATACTACAATCAAACATCACAAAACATTAGGATAACAACATGGATCAGATAACTATAAGAAGTGCATTAAATACGTACAGCCTATCCTGTAGAGATTAAATTACACAGAGTTTCTGGTTGTTCTCCGTATTCCATCGGCGAAGTGACAGGAGGCCTAAAATGGAACATGTCACCCTATACCGGGTGTTTCACATTTGACTCTGACCATCAGAATCTCGGAATCGGTGAGAGTTACGAAGTCGGTTAAATGGGGGCAAAGTTGAGCATTCAGGCACATAGCAAAGTTCATAATTCCGAGTACTTCCGGAGATCAACGAAAAAAAAAACAGAATTTTTCCAAATACGTTTTTCTTTTTTCCTGGCTTTAGATGAGGTGGGATTTCATAATAAGACATTTTGTCTTCTCTACAAGATAAGAACCACAAAAATTATAGTATGTCGTCATTGATTTTGTTTTTTCCTTACAGACATCATTCTATGCTAATTATACTGCCATAAACAATTTCTTAACTAAAAGACTAAAAAAATTGTGTGAATCGCTTGTTATGTCAAAAATAACTCACTATGATATAGTTCACCTACTATTTCTAGATACAACGTCCTTTGCACGCTTTCAAAAAACGTAAAATTCTAAACTAATGTCTGGATACAAGATTCATACAAGAAACATTCTTTCCACAGTTACTCCAAAAACTATTTTGGATAAATATTCTTTATGTACTCATCGAATAAAGAACCCGATTTTTTTCATATTATTCAAGGATAGTATTGAAAATGTTATAAATACTATTTATATGTAACTGATAGAAACATTGTACGGTAAATAAAAGCCTCGATGATGTCGCAGCTTCCTAAACTCATTTCATATCCGCCATATCTAAGCAGATGCTTATATAACGCTTGCTATAGTCGACAATTTATCTGAATGTCCTTTAAACATGCTTTTCACAAACTGAGACATTGGTGGCTTAATTGAATAAACATATGATAAGCTGTCATTTAAGGAAATATTAGTTTTTTTGAATACCTTGGGTTTGAGTCAATGTACTGCAACGAATACATCGTTTTTACTGTTAAAAGTTTTATTTACACTAATTTATAATACATACTAATGTATCACCATTTATAACCATGTTGATTGGTCCACAAAATTTTGAGTCGTTTGACTATCTCGACTTGCGCCATTTGGTCCGATATTTATGTAGTCCCGATGCAGTGCAGCATTTCTAGCAGAAACTTGATTCCTTCTAGATAGCGCGTGAACGCAATCGCTTTTAAAGCTTCGCAAGCTGTGATACATGACGGTGTAACTCTGGTTGCCTAATCTTGCGAGAGTACCGTTCCACCGTTCAAGGTCCCAATGCCGAGGTTGTTACAATACATTTTTGAAATCATAATTAAAAACTCTAGTCAAGTCCAATATGGCATCCTTAATAAAAAATAAAGTTGATTATTGAGGGCAACGAGTGGCTATGTTAATGTACTTTTATCTCGAATGATGCCGGAAAAAATAAAAGCGATTTTGAGAAAATTCGGTTTATTTCGGAACTTCAAAACTTTCTGTGCGCAACCATGCCTCCACTTGACCGACATTATACGAGGGATGTCCTTTAAGTTTTGCATATAGAAACATAGTAGGCCGCACGGATCGAACGTCAGTACTGAATCTAAATCTCACTCTTTAGTAAACTTAAATTGAAAGTTTCACAATAATACGTGCAGTGTTCTCACTACAGTGAACTTTGAAGTGTCACCAAGTCATTAGAAAAATGGAACTCAACCGAGGACATTTTCGCGCCATAATTTATTACAACCTTCAGAGACAATTTATCGCAACAAGAATGCCTTGCTGAGTTACTGTCTACTTACCTCCTGAAGACTGCTTTACTGTACTATTAATTAAGAGAACAGAATCAAAGCTTACAAACAAAAGTTCTAATTTGACACTGAATAAACGGTGCGGTTGTTCGACAAGGCCTAGGTCATCTGCACCGATGAACGGTCGACATCCTGCATCCTGAAAACGTTCAAGGTCACCATTCTCGCGCTGACGAAGGGCAACGCTCACGGAGCGAAACGTCAAACAGTGGAAGTTTTAGGGTGAAAGAGTTCTCCGGCCTGGGTGGGCGTTGGTAAGTAAAAGGCTTCATTCGCCCTTCACGCTTCAACTGCGGTGTATTGCGGCGAAATCGGAACAAAGGGCCGAGTCGGCATCCTGGATTTTGGCAAAGAAATGGAAAATGGGATTCTGGTGCAAAAATAACTGTTAACGCTACTTTCCAGATGAAAAATATACTAAGTGACATATAAATCCGAACACCCAATGGTTTTATTTTAATAAAAGTTGGTGAATGTATTTATCTTACTGTAAATAACAAATGAAAAAATTTTCAGCCTTATCAGTTAGACATTCCGGTTTTTATACTGCTTTTTTTTAATTCACCAACGCTTTAAAAATGAATAATTCAGCCGCAGTAAAGAATCAACGTGGCCGGATTTTGGTTCTTGACATCCTTTACGATCGGTTACGATGCCTAGAGTACGGAGACCTGTACGATTTCGTCAACTTAGTGAGTTTGATAGGGGCCGTATAGTGGGACTTCGGGAAGCTGGACTTTCTTTTCGGGCAATTGCAGTTAGAGTGCAAAGAAGTGTAGACACTGTGGTTAGGTGTTGTCAGGCATGGCTTCGAGAAGGCCGTACGCAGAGAGCAAGGGGCACTGGACGCCGCCGTAGAACAACAGACCGTGAAGATCGCCGCCTAAGATTACTGGCCTTAAGGGACCGTTTCTCCACTACCAGGTCCATTGCAAATGAATGGTTTGCAGAACACGGAAGACCTATTGGCATGCGAAGTGTTTACCGACGAATGAGAAGTTTTGGCTTGTTTTCATACCGGCCACACTGGGTCCTCCCTTTAACTCGAGAACACCGACGTAATCGCCTTGAGTGGTGCAGACAACGGTCACTCTGGGATCAGGAATGGAACAGTATTGTATTTAGTGACGAGTCTCGATTTTGTTTAGGCATGCAC